TCACTTATACTCTTAGTGTGGACCAAATACTACCACTTATACTCTTAGTGTGGACCAAATACTACCACTTATACTCTTAGTGTGGACCAAATACTACCACTTATACTCTTAGTGTGGACCAAATACTACCACTTATACTCTTAGTGTGGACCAAATACTACCACTTATACTATGTGTGGACCAAATACTACCAGTTAAACTTAGTGTGGACCAAATACTACCACTTAAACTTAGTGTGGACCAAATACTACCACTTAAACTTAGTGTGGACCAAATACTACCACTTATACTATGTGTGGACCAAATACTACCAGTTAAACTTAGTGTGGACCAAATACTACCAGTTAAACTTAGTGTGGACCAAATACTACCACTTAAACTTAGTGTGGACCAAATACTACCACTTAAACTTAGTGTGGACCAAATACTACCAGTTAAACTTAGTGTGGACCAAATACTACCACTTAAACTTAGTGTGGACCAAATACTACCACTTAAACTTAGTGTGGACCAAATACTACCAGTTAAACTTAGTGTGGACCAATACTACCACTTAAACTTAGTGTGGACCAAATACTACCACTTAAACTTAGTGTGGACCAAATACTACCAGTTAAACTTAGTGTGGACCAAATACTACCAGTTATATTATGTATGTTGACCAAATCCTACCAGTATTTGGTCAACATACATACTATCCATTATACTCAGTGTGTGTACTAACTATAAGAGGTGTAAACCCTCAGACTGGTCTTGAAGGCATGAGCAGCAGACAGAGCTGAGGGTCAAAGGTTGACATGTTAAGAACTTTGAGTTTTATTATTTCATTAAAACGTCGTCACTCTGAAGCTCAGAGGCACAAAGACAAACACAGAGGAGAGGCCGACACTCAAGTTCAAGAGCAACACTCACCAACACACACACTAACATACTCACCAACACACACACACTAACACACTCACCAACACACACACACTAACACACTCACCAACACACACACACACTAACACACTCACCAACACACACACACACTAACTACTCACCAACACACACACACTAACACACTCACAACACACACACTAACATACTCACCAACACACACACACACTAACACACTCACCACACACACACACACTAACACACTCACCAACACACACACAGACACACACACACACTAACATACTCACCAACACACACACACTAACACACTCACCAACACACACACACACTAACACACTCACCAACACACACACACACTAACACACTCACCAACACACACACAGACACACACTAACACACTCACCAACACACACACACTAACACACTCACCAACACACACACAGACCACACTAACACACTCACCAACACACACACACACTAACACACTCACCAACACACACACACACTAACACACACACTAACACACTCACCAACACACACACAGACACACACTAACACACTCACCAACACACACACTAACATACTCACAACACACACACTAACATACTCACCAACACACACACTAACATACTCACCAACACACACACACACACACACTAACACACACTCACTCTGACCGTCTGTATGAAAATGAGGCTGATGAATATTCAGTGACGACCGTCTGTCTGCACCCTCAGACCTTCTCAGTGACACAACATAAATATAAATGATTAAAAATAATATAAATAAATATATAAAATAATTTGAATATTGAATTTATTTCTAACAAATGAAATATTCTTGTTTTTTCTAACTTCCTTGTTTACTTTCAGTCAGTTTGTCTTATTTTCACTATTCTCACTAAACGTCTTCAGATCCTCGTGTCCAAAGTGTTCTGAGCTGCAGGGAGACATCCCATAATCCAACAGCAAATACCAACGTGCACAATACAAATAAATAACAACAACAACAAACCAGATAAAAACGTCATCATTCTAATTCACAAGCACAAAAACTCGAGCAGGCTGAATTCAAATATAAGAAAGGACATTAATATATATTACATGATAGCACATTACACATTATATCACATTATGTTAAATTATTCTGTGCTGCAGGTGTTGATGGTCCCTCGTCATGTGGTTTGATGTGTCCAACATTAATATTCTCTGCATGTTTGTACATGATTTCAATAAAGTTTCACATCTGAGGATTTTATATTGTTTTCAGTAACGTCTGTCCGCAGAGACGACAGAGAAAGACATCTAGCTGCTATTGATCAGTCGGATTTTCTCTCTTCTACAATAACACAGTATTAAAATTCTGTGTAAGGGATGTCTCGTTCATTATATGTTTCTGTGTATTTCTGGTATTTCTGTAGAATATATTGAGTAGCAGACATCAGACCTGAGCAGCAGAGTCCCAGCAGCAGCAGCATCTTCATCATCATCGTCTTCATGTTTCAGGTTAAATCCAAATCATCAGAAACACAAACATCCAGCAGCTCCGGCAGAAACTCAAATAAAACCTCTTCTCCTTCTTCTGAGTCCTCTTTAGCTTCTTTATAAAATGTACAAACGAGACCTGAGGTCTGAAGCTGCTGAACCCCTGAAGGTCTGACTCAAACTGACCTCACAGGGACTGACGGCTGGGGGTGGGGCCTCTGAGAGCAGGGGAGGGGGCCACAGGGCCGCAGGGACCACAGGGACCACAGGGAAGGGGGGGAGGGGGTGACACTGACCCTGAGGTCAGCTGGGGGGGTCAAAGCAGAGGTCAACATGGAGCTGCCGGATTATAATGAGATGGGGGGAGGATAACAAGAAGAGAGGACGGATGGAAGGAAAGAAATAAGGTCAGAGGGAGGAGAGGAAGGAAACGAAGCATAGGAAGGAAGGAGAGGAAGAAGAGGGAGGAGAAGAAAGAGAGGAAGGAAACAAAGGAGATAGGAAGGAAGGAGAGGGAGGAGAGGAAGGAAACGAAGCATAGGAAGGAAGGAGAGGAAGAAGAGGGAGGAGAAGAAAGAGAGGAAGGAAACAAAGGAGATAGGAAGGAAGGAGAGGGAGGAGAGGAAGGAAAACGAAGCATAGGAAGGAAGGAGAGGAAGAAGAGGGGAGAGAAAGAGAGGAAGGAAACAAAGGAGATAGGAAGGAAGGAGAGGGAGGAGAGGAAGGAAACGATGGAGAGGAAGGAAGGAGAGGAAGAAGAGGGGAGGACAGGAACGAAACGAGGAGGGAAGGAAGGAGAGGAAGAAGAGGGAGAGAGGAAGGAAGGAGAGAAACAAGAGGGAAGAGAGGGAGGAGAGGAAAGAGAAGAAAGAGAGGAAGGAAACAAAGGAGATAGGAAGGAAGGAGAGGGAGGAGAGGAAGGAAACGATGGAGAGGAAGGAAGGAGAGGGAGGAGAAGAAAAGAGAGGAAGGAAACAAAGGAGATAGGAAGGAAGGAGAGGGAGGAGAGGAAGGAAACGAAGCATAGGAAGGAAGGAGAGGAGAAGAGGAGGAGGAGAAGAAAGAGAGGAAGGAAAACAAGGAGATAGGAAGGAAGGAGAGGGAGGAGAGGAAGGAAACGATGGAGAGGAAGGAAGGAGAGGAAGAAGAGGGAGGAGAGGAACGAAACGAAGGAGAGGAAGGAAGGAGAGGAAGAAGAGGGAGGAGAGGAAGGAAGGAGAGAAACAAGAGGGAAGAGAGGGAGGAGAGGAAGGAGAAGAAAGAGAGGAAGGAAACAAAGGAGATAGGAAGGAAGGAGAGGGAGGAGAGGAAGGAAACGATGGAGAGGAAGGAAGGAGAGGGAGGAGAGGAAGGAAACAAAGGAGAGGAAGGAAGGAGAGGGAGGAGAGAAAGAGAGGAAGGAAGCAAAGGAGATAGGAAGGAAGGAGAGGGAGGAAACGAAGGAAACGATGGAGAGGAAGGAAGGAGAGGGAGGAGAGGAAGGAAACAAAGGAGATAGGAAGGAAGGAGAGGGAGGAGAGGAAGGAACGATGGAGAGGAAGGAAGGAGAGGGAGGAGAGGAAGGAAACGATGGAGAGGAAGGAAGGAGAGGGAGGAGAAGAAAGAGAGGAAGGAAACAAAGGAGATAGGAAGGAAGGAGAGGGAGGAGAAAGAAAGAGAGGAAGGAAACGAAGGAGATAGGAAGGAAGGAGAGGGAGGAAACGAAGGAAATTCTCCAGCATAAACATGATTTTAAACGTTTCCTTCCATCAGCCTGTGAAGAAGCTTCTCCGTCACATCACAGTGTTGATATAACATGTTAGTGAGTAATATTCGACCCTCAGCAACGGTTCCCCTCAAGGCTGCGTTCTCTCCCCTTCTCTTCTCCCTGTACACCAACAGCTGCCACTCCAGTCACCAGTCTGTCAAGCTCCTGAAGTTTGCGGACGACACCACCCTCATTGGGCTCATCTCAGGTGGGGACGAGTCCGCCTACAGGTGGGAGATCGACCATCTGAAGACGGTGGAGATGTGATGGTCGACTTCAGGAAGAGCCAGCCCCCTCCTCCATCATCCTGTGAGACTCCCCAGTCACCACTGTGGACTCCTTCCGCTTCCTGGGCACCATCATCTCCCAGGACCTCAAGTCAGAGCTGAACATCACCTCCCTCACCAAGAAGACCCAGCAGAGGATGCACTTCATGCGGCAGCTAAAGAAGTTCAGCCTGCCAAAGACAATGACGGTGCACTTCTACACCGCCATCATGGAGTCCATCCTCACCTCCTCCATCACCATCTGGTACGCTGCAGCCACCGCCAGGGACAAGGCTGCAGCGCATCGTTCGCTCTCCTGACCCCACACTTTACAACAACGCTCATCTGTGCTTTATGCTCATGTTGTCAACTTTTGCACATACTTGTCAGCATAGTATTATAGTACTATTATTTTTTGTTCTCCTTACTTTTTATCTATTTATATTACTATTTTTGTTTATGTGTTCTGTAAGCACCAGTTCATCCCAAGCCAAATTCCTCGTATGTGAAAACGTACCTGGCAACAAACCCGATTCTGATTCAGACTCAGTCACAGCTGCGGCTGGAGGCGACAGGTGGTTCATGTCAGACACGTCACAGTAGGTGCGCTGAAAGCACGTCTTCAACTAAAAACGTGACGACGTGCTGACTTCCTTTTTATCTAAAGCCGTGTTCTGGTTATTTTGTCCACGCTCTGTTGCCTCCGGACAGCAGGCGGCGGGAACAGGCCGGAGCTGCACACCACCGAAGAAGAAGAAGAAGAAGTAATGGCGCGGTGGTTGATGTAAACAAAAATGTTTTATTGTGCTGATGATCCGCTGAGAAACAGGAAGCTGTGCGGTTTCCTCCCGGTGAGAAGATGAGCCGCGGCGGAGCAGGAGGAGAACCGGAGGGACGTTCAGCAACAACACGGAGACACAGACTGGAGGTACTGCACTGCGTCCGGCTAACGCAGCTAACTCTGCTAACACAGCTCACATGCTAACACAGCTCACATGCTAACACAGCTCACATGCTAACACAGCTCACATGCTAACTCTGCTAACACAGCTCACATGCTAACTCTGCTAACACAGCTCACATGCTAACACAGCTCACATGCTAACTCTGCTCACATGCTAACTCTGCTAACACAGCTCACATGCTAACACAGCTCACATGCTAACTCTGCTCACATGCTAACTCTGCTAACACAGCTCACATGCTAACACAGCTCACATGCTAACTCTGCTCACATGCTAACACAGCTCACATGCTAACACAGCTCACATGCTAACACAGCTCACATGCTAACACAGCTCACATGCTAACTCTGCTAACACAGCTTGAGCTGCTTGGAGGAGACGGTCAGTGAACAAACTGTAAGTGATCCTAAATATACTAAATGAGGTGAACTCCACCGAACCTCCAGTAAAGTTTGAGTTCAGACTGCTGCGTCTGCCTCACCTTTATTTACAGTCAGCTGACACACCTGCAGGGAGCCAAGGTGCTGTGTCACACCTGCTGTGTGAAACCTGCAGCCACATCACTTCGTTGTGAATAAATAAACCTGAAAACTTTACGAACAGTTTAAATAGTGACAGACAGTCTTTCCATATTGATTTAGTCTGAACTACGAAGGCCCTGAAGGTCCCCACCTGACAGAACACCTCCAACCAGCTGCAGTTCCACCTTGCACCCCGACCCCCTCTGACCCGCTACAGCCCGGTGCGGTCCGATCCAGGTGGCGATGGCGGGGCGAGGTCGTGGGCGGGGGCGGAGGATGATGACTTTCAGCGTGGAGGCAGTCGGCATCAACAGAGGAGACAGTTTACCTCCGTCCATCCAGCAGCCTACACCTCTGTTTCCTGTGAGACACACACACACACCTGGTTACCTGTTCGCTCATGTTCACATAAAAACAACCTGACAACAGAAGTCAGCAGCGTTTCGTACTCCACATCTGACTGGATGTTTCCGACAGCAGTGCACTCTGGGAGTTTGTGGTTAACTCTGTGTGTGTGTGTTGTTGTCCAGGTGATGGAGCAGAAGCCCCTCCCCCTGGCAGGTGGGGAGGAGGCGGAGTACCTGTAGCTCTCAAACAGGAGTTCAGAGGAGCCATGAAGAGTCTGCCCTGCTTCATCCAGCCAGCTGCTGCACACAGAGGTCAGAGGTCACCGCACACACACACTGTAACACAAACACACACTCTGTAACGCACACACACACTGTAACACAAACACACACACTGTAACGCACACACTGTAACGCACACACTGTAACGCACACGCACACTGTAACACAAACACACACACTGTAACACAAACACACACACTGTAACACAAACACACACATAACGCACACACACACTGTAACACAACACACACACTATAACGCACACACACACTGTAACACACACACACTGTAACACACACACACACTGTAACGCACACACACTGTAACGCACACGCACACTGTAACACAAACACACACACTGTAACACAAACACACACACTATAACGCACACACACACTGTAACACACACACACACTGTAACGCACACACACACTGTAACACAAACACACACACTGTAACACAAACACACACACTATAACGCACACACACACTGTAACACACACACACTGTAACACACACACACACTGTAACGCACACACACTGTAACACAAACACACACACTGTAACACAAACACACACACTATAACGCACACACACACTGTAACACAAACACACACACTGTAACGCACACACACACTGTAACGCACACACACACTGTAACACACACACACACACTGTAACGCACACACACTGTAACACAAACACACACACTGTAACGCACACACACACTGTAACACACACACACACTGTAACACACACACACACTGTAACACAAACACACACACTGTAACGCACACACACACTGTAACGCACACACACACACTGTAACACAAACACACACTGTAACGCACACACTGTAACGCACACACTGTAACGCACACACTGTAACGCACACACTGTAACGCACACACTGTAACGCACACACTGTACGCACACGCACGCACAGTAACACAAACACACACTGTAACACAAACACACACTAAACGCACACACACTGTAACACACACACACTGTAACGCACACACACACTGTAACGCACACACACACTGTAACACAAACACACACTGTAACACAAACACACACTATAACGCACACACACACTGTAACACAAACACACACACTGTAACGCACACACACACTGTAACGCACACACACACTGTAACACAAACACACACACTGTAACGCACACACACTGTAACACAAACACACACACTGTAACGCACACACACACTGTAACACAAACACACACACTGTAACGCACACACACACTGTAACACAAACACACACACTGTAACGCACACACACTGTAACACAAACACACACACTGTAACGCACACACACACTGTAACGCACACACACACTGTAACACAAACACACACTGTAACACAAACACACACACTATAACGCACACACACTAAACGCACACACACTGTAACACAAACACACACACTATAACGCACACACACACTGTAACACAAACACACACTCTGTAACGCACACACACACTGTAACACAAACACACACTCTGTAACGCACACACACACACTGTAACACAAACACACACACTGTAACGCACACACACACTGTAACACAAACACACACACTGTAACGCACACACTGTAACGCACACACACACTGTAACACAAACACACACACTGTAACACAAACACACACACTATAACGCACACACACACTGTAACACAAACACACACACTGTAACGCACACACACTGTAACACAAACACACACTGTAACGCACACACACACTGTAACACAAACACACACTCTGTAACGCACACACACACTGTAACACAAACACACACACTGTAACGCACACACACACTGTAACACAAACACACACACTGTAACACAAACACACACACTGTAACACAAACACACACACTATAACGCACACACACACTGTAACACAAACACACACACTATAACGCACACACACACTGTAACACAAACACACACACTGTAACGCACACACTGTAACACACACACTGTAACGCACACACTGTAACGCACACACTGTAACGCACACACTGTAACGCACACACTGTAACGCACACGCACGCACAGTAACACAAACACACGCACAGTAACACAAACACACACACTGTAACACAACACACACACTATAACGCACACACACACTGTAACACAAACACACACTCTGTAACACAAACACACACACTGTAACACAAACACACACTATAACGCACACACACACTGTAACGCACACACACACACTGTAACACACACACACACTGTAACACACACACACACACTGTAACACACACACACACTGTAACACACACACACACACTGTAACACAAACACACACACACTGTAACACAAACACACACACTGTAACACAAGCACACACACACTGTAACACAAACACACACACACTGTAACACACACACTGTAACGCACACACACACACTGTAACACACACACACACACTATAACGCACACACACACTGTAACGCACACACACACACTGTAACGCACACACACACTGTAACGCACACACACACACTGTAACGCACACACACACACACACACTGTAACACACACACACACTGTAACACACACACACACACTGTAACACAAACACACACACTGTAACACAAACACACACACTGTAACACAAACACACACACTGTAACACACACACACACACTGTAACACAAACACACACACACTGTAACACAAACACACACACACTGTAACACACACACACACACTCTAACACGCACACACACACACTGTAACGCACACACACACACTGTAACACAAACACACACTGTAACGCACACACACACTGTAACGCACACACACACTGTAACACAAACACACACTGTAACACAAACACACACTGTAACACAAACACACACTGTAACACAAACACACACACACTGTAACACAAACACACACACACTGTAACGCACACACACACACTGTAACACAAACACACACACACTGTAACACAAACACACACACACTGTAACACAAACACACACACTGTAACGCACACACACACACTGTAACACACACACACACTGTAACGCACACACACACTGTAACGCACACACACACTGTAACGCACACACACACTGTAACGCACACACACACACTGTAACGCACACACACACTGTAACGCACACACACACTGTAACGCACACACACACACTGTAACGCACACACACACACTGTAACACGCACACACACACTGTAACGCACACACACACTGTAACACAAACACACTGTAACACAAACACACTGTAACGCACACACACACTGTAACACAAACACACTGTAACACAAACACACTGTAACACACACACACTGTAACACACACACACTGTAACACAAACACACTGTAACACAAACACACACTGTAACGCACACACACTGTAACGCACACACACACTGTAACACAAACACACACTGTAGCACAAACACACACTGTAACGCACACACACACTGTAACGCACACACACACACTGTAACACACACACTGTAACACAAACACACACTGTAACACAAACACACACTGTAACACAAACACACACTGTAACACAAACACACACTGTAACACACACACACTGTAACACAAACACACACTGTAACGCACACACACACACTGTAACGCACACACACACTGTAACGCACACACACTATAACGCACACACACTGTAACGCACACACAAACTATAACACACACACACTGTAACACAAACACACACACTGTAACGCACACACACACACTGTAACAAACACACACACACTGTAACACAAACACACACACTGTAACACGCACACACACACTGTAACACAAACACACACACACTGTAACACAAACACACACACACTGTAACACAAACACACACACTGTAACACGCACACACACACACTGTAACGCACACACACACACTGTAACACACACACACTGTAACACAAACACACACTGTAACGCACACACACACACTGTAACACAAACACACACTGTAACACAAACACACACTGTAACGCACACACACACTGTAACACACACACACTGTAACACAAACACACACTGTAACGCACACACACACTGTAACACAAACACACACTGTAACACAAACACACACTGTAACGCACACACACACACTGTAACACACACACACACACTGTAACACAAACACACACTGTAACGCACACACACACACTGTAACACACACACACTGTAACACAAACACACACTCTGTAACAGTAACTATCAGCTGACTGTGTTTCCAGATGTGGAGAGATACTCTGATAAATATCACAGCAGTGAGCCGACAGACGGAACGACAGACTGGACTCCAGGTGAGACGCCACCATCATCATCGTCACCATCATCATCGTCACCATCATCATCGTCCGTATTAATTATTATTATTGATGACTTGTTGTTGTTTTTGACTCAGACTGGAAGAGATTCCCTAAAGAGCTCAGAGTCCACGTGAAGAAACCTGCCAGAGATGGTGAGTACACAGTACATGCAGTACATGCAGTACATGCAGTACAGACTATGTAGTAGCAGTACGTGAGCTGAAACGGGCTCCGTTCTGTCAGTGTTCCTGATGTTTGAACAAACTTTATTAAGACGGACAGAAGGACGCGCTGAGCCTGCTCTGCTTCAGCCGCTGGATGTGTTGGTGATTTCTGGGTGGATGAGTGACCGTTGGGCGTGTAACGCCCTGTTCTGTGTCTCTCAGGTGTTTCGGCCGCAGGCGGTCACTCTGACAGACTTCAGCCTGCTCAGAAGAAGAAACGAGTGAAAGAGAAAGAGGAAGTGCTGCTCAAACTGGAGGTGAGACTCCGGGGACAGGAAGTAGCTGCACTATCTCCAGATCCTCAGTCCAAACTAAACACCTTTCCACCTTAATGTGTATCAGAGTCTGGAAAAGAAGGAGGAGCGGGGGAGCTCGGGAGAGGAGGAGGAGGAGGAGGAGGAGGGAGGGGAGAAGAAGAAGAAGAAACCAGAGGAAGAGGAGGCCGAGGGAGAGGAGGAGTACGACGAGGAAGAGTTTGAGGAGGTGAGAGGTTTTTATTAAAACAAGGTTTTTATGAATGAACTTTGGTTTGTTTAGCGGCAGCACTGGGGGGGGGGGGGGGGGTGGCGTTCAGTTCAGCAAAATGTAAATCATTCAGGAAATGATGTCACTGTGTGTCCGAGCTGTTTTCATGAGGTCTGAGGACAGGAAGCCGCTCAGCTCCGGGATCTGCAGTCAGTCAGGACTGTTGATTGATTCATCAGCCTGAAGCCTGCAGAGACGGAATCAGCTGCTCCTTCACATCCTCAGACGTCAGCGTGAAACCCTCCAGCTGTTCAGTAAAGACACAAACATCAGTTTAATGATAGTGATGCGGTTCCTGATGAACCTGATGCAGCACGCTGTCTGAAACACACAGAGGGTTTCTCCATGTGACGCACGCAGCTGGAAGACGATACATCAGTTTTACGGTGTAATATTGATACGATTGGACGTCCAGCTGACCTTAAATGCAGTGACGGGAAGTTAGAGGACGCAGACACAGTGGACATTGTACAAGAATGGAGCGACAGTGAACGCACCGTTGCAGGTGACTTTATAAAACGTGCTGCTGATGGAGAAAGACAGCAGAGACGTACAGGAAGGGGCGGGGCCGGCAGGTGTGTACAGGAAGGGGCGGGGCCGGCAGGTGTGTACAGGAAGGGGCGGGGCCGGCAGGTGTGTGCAGGAAGGGGCGGGGCCGCAGGTGTGTACAGGAAGAGGAAGGTGAGGAGAGAGGCAGCAGATTCAGGTAGTGACTAAACACTGAAGTGGAGCTCGCTCGTCGCCGCTGAGAGCATTTAATGTAAGAACATGACAGTTTGATGTTGAGCTCTGACCTTTGACCTTCTGCTCCGCAGGAGACGGACTACGTCATGTCGTACTTCGATAACGGGGAGGAGTTTGGTGGAGACAGCGACGACAACATGGACGAGGCTATTTACTGAAACACCAGCACGTCTGCTTCTGTCTCCGCAGAGACGAACCGTCCAGCAGCTGTTTGACTTTTTACTGTTTCTGAAAGGGACGAGTCAGCAGAGGGAGCCGCCAGGAGCCATGAGGAGCTGCCAGGAGCCATGAGGAGCCGCCAGGAGCCATGAGGAGCCGCCAGGAGCCAATAAGGCGTCGCCAGGAGCCCTCTGCGTTCATGTCGTTCCAACGTTTTTAACTTTTGTATCTGTGTTTTATGTTTTTATCAGAAAAGTGAATTCTGTGTGTTTGTTGTGGCTGTTGGGTAATAAACGGCTACACGAGGCGTTCAGGGCGTGGTGGGAATATTTAGCTCTCAGAGGCTGATCAATACAACCAAACACTTGATTCACAGTCAGTCAGTAAAACAGAAAGGAAATGTTGATGTGAGGAAAAGTATTTTAGCATCATGTTGTTCCTAAAAGTTTTACTGCAAAACTTCATCCTGACATCAGAACGTCGCCTTTAATCAGGTGGAAGAAAAACTCGATCATTTACTTCAGTTTAACTACTAATCTGTGTGTAAAACACAAAATACACACACTGAAGAATGCGTCATTGACAGTACTAATACTGCAGAAATACTCTGTTACCAGCAAGTATTGGCATCAAAATACACTCAAAGTACTCATTACGCAGACCGGCCCATTTCAGAATAGTAATATTATTACTGGATTAAATCTGAGCTCATAAATAATATCTGGATATTTTAGGCTCGATATCTCAATAAATACACATTCTGTCTACAATAACATCCTGTTATAGACCATGAAGCATTGCTGCAGATTAAAGTACCCGAAGTGAAGTGATCCAGTGAGAGTAGAGGAGAGAAAAGTACAGTGGAAATATTCAAGGAAAGTACAAGTACCACAAAAGTATACTTAAGTACAGATAATTAGTCCCGGCAGGTAGTACCGACAAAGCTCCATAAAGAGCCTGCAGACCGGCTCAGGACTGCAGTTAGGATCAATAATCGATGTGTTCCCTGCTGGGAGTTCAGGTCAGGAGGTCTTGGGTTCCTGTCGTGGTGGCGGACTAAGAAGGAGGACTCTCAGACTTGGTCGGTCCAGGGGTCTCCTGGAGCAGCAGGTACTGGGATGCCAGGGTGTCAAGTGGTAACTGAACCAGACCAGGGTGGTGGTTCCGTTTTTAAAAAGGGGGACAGGATCCTGTGCTCCATGAGGAGAAGCTGGAAACTGTCCTGTAACGATGTGGATCAGATCTATGACCTGGTTTACGCTCCTGGTTCAGATTGTCCCACTGACAGCGGGTGAACCCCCCCCCAGACTAAGTTGATTGATAACGCGTTAATAACCGTCTCGGCTGTGATTGGCTGGTGGTGTGTTCGCTGTCGCTGGTTGAAGTGAACGCTGAGCTGCAGCAGCACGTTGTCCTCAGTCGTGACCTCTGACCTCCTTTTGACTCAGAGCTAACGTTAGCATTAGCTCACTCATTCCAAATGTGGAAACAGAAAGAGGAGCGCTGGCGCCGACTCAGACACCCGATCACGCTCTGAGCGAGTGACCCCGGGGCCTCGACCAATCACACGCGGTCTGGGATCAACTGCCAACCAATCAGAGCAGAGAGGCTGCCGGCCATGCAGACGGAGGAGAAGTGGGGGGGGGGGGTCTGGAGGCCAGCTGTAACACGATGAGTGTCAACGTGCGGGACGTGGTTACACGCACACACACCTCTGACACAGAATGCATTCCCTAACCTGAACCCTAAAACCAAGTCTTGACCCTCAAACAGCCCTTTAAACATCGTGAATCACACGTCTGCAGTGTGCAGCGAGCTGAAGTGGGTCAGAGGTCTCAGACCGACAGGGTTCAGGTTTTATAAAAACACCTCGGTGACGAGACGTCGTCGTTAACTGAAGTATTCAGACCCTGACGGCAGACACCGCGGTGTAAAAGTATTCATCTACTACGTGGCGCTGATGGCGCAGTGGATAAGACACATACCTTTGGTGAGAGAGACCCGAGTTCAGTTCCACCCGTGTGTCCTTAACCCCTCGCTGCTCCTGAGGCGTGCGACACGTGTAATAATACATGTAAGTACTTTGAAACTGAAGTGCAGTACCTGAGTAAAAGTACTTTTCCTTCTGCTGAATCTTTATAATCATTGAGACGTTTCTGAGGTGAAACGTGGCCGACTGGGTTCATGGAGGCACTTTGGAAGGTTGATTATTTCCTGTTGTATTAATGATACCGTGTTTTATGCTTTTATTTTATTTTAGATGAACAAAATCTCAACAAACACGGTTAAATAAAAACAACAACGTGACAGTGGCGTTCTGTCTCACGGCGTCGCACTTCACCGGTTTCACGCCGGGCCGGCCTCTGTGGAAAGCGACGGTTTGTCCTCAGAGAAACACGGACGCAGATTTAAAGTCATGAACTGATTTATTAGTAAAAAAATAAACATCTGCATTTATTTACATCATATTTACAGCTGGAACTTCCTGAAACTGTCGTAGAAAAAACTTTTCACAACAAAACAAAGTGCCAAAGCCGGGAGACGGCGAGTCGTGGCGGTCCTGGGGCTCGGCCGCTGTCCTGAGTGTCACCGGCGGGCGGGCGAGCTCAGGCGGTCGGCCCCGTCATGCCGGCGGCCGTGTGGCTGGAGCAGAAGTCGTACTCAGAAGACCTGAACAACCTGAGGAGGGTTGACGGCGCCCTGATCGACCTGAACACAACGACAGGAAGAGTCGATTATAGCAGCGGGGTAAAAGAGGACGTGCAGAGATCTGAACAGGAGACGGACTAAACCATCGATGGCGGCAGGGCTCACCTCGCTGTAGGCGGGGGGCGGGGGGTAGTACACCTCCGGCGCTCTCATGAAGAGCCCGCCCTCGTCCTCGTCGTCCTCCACGCCGTCGTAGTCCTGGAGCAGCGGGGTGCGGGGGCCGTCCACCCTCAGGTCTCTGTGGATGTTACTGTAGCTGGGAGGGGCCGAGGGCAAGGAGGACCAGCTGCTCAGGGACCCGGCCTGGCTGCTCAGGGACCCGGCCTGGCTGCTCATGCTGCTGGTCCTGCTGCCCACGCCGCTGAACGGGATCGTCCCGATGACCAGGGGCAGCTCCAGGACCAGCTTCTCGCTGCCGGGGATGTGCAGGTAGATCTGGGGGAGCAGGCGCAGGTTAGCACCCGACCTCGTGTACGTTTGTTAAGTACTGATCTATGCTGCTGCCATCGACCACGACTCACCATGAGGGCGTAGTCCACCTTGATGATGTCACAGCCGAGCAGCGACGGCTTCAGTTTGGGGACTCGGATGGTCTTCCCCTGCCACATGTCGCACATCCCGGAGATGATGTGGTTTCCTCGGACCGCCGACAGTTTCTGACGAAAAACCTGAACAGAGTAAAAGTCAGAGGTCAGAGCTCCTGTCAGCGTTCGGCCCGTCGCGGCGTCAGGAAACCATCCTCGTGTCCGGGCGTCACCTTGGTGTGTCCGTCGGCCACATACGAGTGTTTGGCGATGATGGCGGCCTTCGGGACCACGATACGGGAACAGGTGTTCTCAAACTTGGCGCTGATGTTGATGTCTTCTCCCTCACAGAAGCCCTTCCTGTCGATCCGAGCGCTGACGGACACCTGGCCGTCAGGGATGAACATGCAGGTGACCTTCTTCTGTCTGGAGGCTGCAGCCGGAGCCTGAGGAGGACAGAGACCTCAGTAAAGATCCAGACCACAATACACGGACTAATGGCCTGTCAGCAAACTCAGTTCTGGTTCTGCTTGTTAGAAAAAGCCTGGTGGAACCCAGAGGAACCTGAGACTGCTGGTTCTGGCTTTATGTCGATAACAGATCGCGGAGGTCGTTCAGATGTCTGCCACGCGTCGGGTTAGTGGGCACAACCCCCCCAGAACCAGAACCAAGAGGATGAGGGTGGTTCAGAGGTTCTAATCGGAGCTGCTGGTTCAGCACTCTTCAACACGTGGACCGGGGATCGAACCCCCGACCCTGTGATCAGTGGACGACCCGCTGACGGTCGGCCCGGTCGCATGTTCAGGAACGTTCTGCGAGTGAGATGGTGATCGCGCACTGTTTGTTGTTATTGATCCCGTCCTCACACTGCGGCGTTTAACCAATCAGATCTAATTACAGACGGCGTGTTGTTAGTTAGGTGACTCAGCGTGACGACGGGCCCCGAACCAGGAAACTGAAATCTGACTCGGCAGATCCTGACACCGGGTCAGCTGGACGTGTTGTGTGTGTTTCGTACCAGCAGGTCGGGTCGGTTCACATCCAGCGGCTCCTCCACCTCAAACTCCCTCTCACACTGCAAAGCATGCTGGGAAGGCTTGTCCAGCACCGCCCGCACGTAGTAACGGACGTAGCCGAACTTTCCTTTGTAGGACGACACCAGGCGCCTGAAACCAGAGCAGAGGTCACGTCAGGATCACCTGCTGCGATCAGTGACAGATATCAGATCCGCTGTAATCGATGTGGGACTCACCCGGCCGCAGGAAGCTCGAAGCCGAACTGGAAGCTGTAGGTTTAGCCGGCTGCAGCAGGAAGCAGCCGTCTGAGCCTGCGGACAAACGCCACCACGTCATCGATCGATACAGAACTGATCATCCAATCCAGTTTTATTTATATAAATCACAACAACTGTTGTCTCACGTCTGGACCGAAGTCTGTGGTGTCTGTGATCCCAGAGAGGGATCGTGTTTATCATTAGAAACAGATCAACAAAATAAACATTTCGATAGAAACATTAGCAGCCGATTCGTTGCAAATAAATTAAATCAAACATTTATTGAACATGTTATTTTGTTATTGAGGAAAATATTGTGATAATTACCATCTCACTACCATCTACCGTCAAATCTCACTTCAAATTCATATAGAATTAAACAACAAGAGAGTGGAAATAATCGATCCACATGAACAAATCTAATATTTCTGCTATTTATTTAAACAGTTCATCTTTTAAAGGCTCAATCCGACATATTTCACATGTTGGGATTTAACTCTACTGACAGTACACAGAGTACAAATACACGCTGCTGTGTACCTTTACTGAGCTGCTCCTCCAGCCGCAGCTCCTCCTCGTACTTCAGGTACTCCACCTCCTGGCTCCGGTTCTTGCGGTTCTTCCCGCCGCGGTGCTCCACCCGGGCGCAGCCGGCGGCGGTGACCCTGAGGCCGGTCACCCTGCAGGGCTGAGCCGCCTCCAGCAGCACGGAGCCGGACAGCTTCTCCCCGCTGCTGTAGAAGGACCGGCGGGGTCCGAGAAGACCAGCTGGAAGACTTTCAGCTTGTTCCCGGAGACAGA